ACCTAAATGATTCTATGATTCTACTTGCCACAGTGTGTTCTTGTTAGCCTTTCAGATTAATGAAATAGTTTACTTCCTCCTGAGAAAAGGTTATTAAACTTCTTCACATTCTAAGACACACTTTTAAAGCATCTGTCTCTGTCTTTATAAACAAGGGTGCATTCTTTCCTTTTACCACATAAATTAACCATATGAGATTTCATGGACTTAAAAAGCATGCAGAGTGTCCTGTGACTGCTTAATGCTAACTGAGACAGAAAATGCTGATTTCTAAAGATACAAGCTTTCAACAGATTTTTCTTCTACTTCTGCTTATCAGAAGAAAGAAATTCTAGTGGATCATAAAACTAATTTGAAATAGCTACCTATAGAAAGACTTCCTCCAGTGTAATGTGTAGATTTTAACTTGCCTCATCTCCAGAGTTATCCTCAGCTGTTGGTACCTCCCAGCTGATATTAGCAGAGTTATGATGTTCCAAAGTCTCAGTCTCAATATCTTCTGGACAGTGGATCTGAGGAGCTTCAATATCTGGTCCAGAAAAAGACAAACTAATTTTGCATGTTGCACTATAGAAATAAAACCTTTATAATGGATAGACTGCAAATTCTTACAACCACTAGTTTTTGTGCTGCCTGGAATACACAAACATGTATTTTTTCCAACTTCCTCTTTCCGTCCCTTTTTAATTCTTGCCTACAGGCTCACACACAAACAGTAAATTCTCCTGGGAAAGTGACTATTTTTTGCTGTAGTTTTGTACGCCACTGAGCACAGTGAGACTCTGGTTTCTCCATGCAACCATAAACCAAGGAATAAATAAGAGAGAATTTGTTTCTCTTATTATTCAACTGTTCATGACAAACATATACTCATTAAGAAGGAATGGCTTCTCTATCTTTTCACTGGCCCCACACAAAACATACCGATGAAAACACTTGTTTGTGACATTCAGTGACTTTAAAAAAAAGTATCTGTGGTATGATATTTATATTACAAACAAGAGAGTAGAGATTCTCCATTTTTCTGGAGCATGGTATGGAACTGACTTGAAAGAAACAATGGCAAGACTTCTCACACCAGCTGCTGAAAACATTCCTTAATAAACTCCTGCCACAAAGTATTCTGTAGGACAAATGGAGTCTTCTTGTGACATATGTGACAATACTGAACGTTTTAAAAAGGACTGGTGACACAATATGGAGAAAATCACCACCAACATTTAGGCCTCAAGTTTCTCTGACAAATTTAAATACTTCTTCATTTCCCTGGCACATGGCCTCCCAAAACATTTGTGGTCAGGTTGTTTTATTGCTGTAGTGTTGTGTGATAAATGGTCTCTAGAATCATGAGACAAGGATGCATTCATCTCTGGACTCATCTATGCCCAGGAGGCCTTAAAACAACTCAGAACTGATATCATTTATATTTTTATTACTAAATAGTTCCAGTAAAGACATAACTCATGCAATTAAGCCTCTGTAATTAAGAGTGCAAAGCAATAAATACAAGTGATTTTGCCTTTCTCTGAACTCATTCCGATGAAAATATTATTAGAAATGAACTCTTTTAAATAACTACCAGTTATGTTTCACAATCCCCTGACCACAGCTTTCAGGCTGGGGCAAATTCCATTTAAAAGTGAAATTCTGTAAAAAAACCAATAAAGAAATCAGAAAGAAGATAGTTATTGTGAACTGGCCAAATAAGTTGGCAGCAAAATAGAGACGATAACAAGAATGAAAGCAACTGAATTTGAAATTAAACTGTTCACTTTTTAGTAAAGACTTACAGACTGTTTTACTAAAGACTTTTTGCTAAAAAAGAACAAACTTCAGAGTTTCTTTGTACCTTTTATTTTAGGATTTTTATGCACTGGTAATATCTAAAAGCTTGAACCCAAGCCATGCTGCTTCATCTGGATCCAAATATTTCAGCTTGTACACTTGTGATGGAATGCCATCAAATATTAAAAACCGTGGTTTGGCATAGGTTTACACAAAAAATTCAGAAAAACAATGTAGTATGTTACAGAGTGGGAAATAATATGTTTAAAGACAGGGATAAAATCTTCCTGGCTATTACAGAGAAAAAAGTTCCCACCTCAGTTTCTGTGGTAACACGGCATGATGATTACTGTAACTGTTTTCTTTACTGTTCTTTTACCCAGTGGCTGTAGAGGGCCCCATTTTGGGGTGGTAGCTTTAGTTCTAGAAGCATATTAATTAATCAAGCCATGAACAGCATATTCCCAGACAAACTGCACTTTTCTATAGTCCAAAAGCCAAACTCTTAAACTCAAGTGTGCATGTGTGTAAGGGAATAGATAACCTAAAATTTCTAGAAGAGTTGGGTAAACATGGCAGAACTATACTCAAATAGATGTAACCATCTTCTGTCAATCTTACACTCTGTGCACTTTTGTCAGCCAATTTTGGCCTTAACTCTTGTGCACTGTTGCCCAGGGCATGTCAACAGCAATAGTCAGTTCAAAGACAACTGAAATGAACCATCCCCCTGTAGTCTGTTTAACTGGTAGATTTTAAACAGCATTTACAAATTTGCTCCAGCTACAGGGCTTACATAAATCTGTGCTAAACCAGTAAGAATTACTGTTATCTTTGTTCTTTTACTAGGAGTGTGGATTGCACTTTGACTATCTTTAAGCTAAGACCTTTTACTTCTAATCCGAAATTTTGCATTTACCTGAACACTTTTTAGCAGGGAGCTTCCCAACAACAGATTTATGAGTTTGATCTCCAGAGAGATAGTTGACAATGAGCACTATTAGATGGCACTTAAGCAACCTCTGAACTCCATATTTTTATTACAAACTACAAGTAAATCTGAAAACCAAGCTATAATGCCACAGTCAACACTTCTTATGGACTGTTTAAATCGTGCCTTCCTCTGTTCAAAACTGTTCTCACAGTTATTTGCTTTGGGTTTCCCTTCAATCCTGAACACATGTACACAGAAATAATGTTGTGCTGGTCTCTACCTTTACACAGAGCCTCCTGGATGTTTGCACTCCATCTCCCAAATGAAATGCACCTTAGTTCTTCTCTAGCTCCAGACAAGATGAATCCTGGGGGACAGCTCAGCTGGCAGGCAGTCCCAGAAATGGCAGGTTCCAGCCCACATTTGGGAGGGAGAACCGTTACACCTGCTGGTATCTGAAGGATGGGGCAACGCTTTTCTGTAAGAGACCAGTAGGACATGTATTTTAACTGGGATACGTGAAGTATACATTCAAAAAATCTGAAAAAAAAAATCATATGTCAACTCAGACGGAACACAAAATACACAGATTTTTAAGAGTCATCAGAACAGTAAGACCTGCTGAAGCTTTCTACTCCAGTGCACAGCACTTGTACTCCAGTAAACAGCACTGTAGATATCAGGTCTTCTGTTTTCTTGCTCATGCTTTCACTGAACAGAAACACAGTATTTTTCATGCAGCCCCACTACATCTCACTCTTTCTTCTTTTTTATTTTTTTTCTTTGCAATTTCATCTTTCATGATTGCAATGTAGCTACATTCCCTTGCCTTTTATGCAAACCAGACCTCCAGAGCAGGAAAGAAGCAATACTCTTGTATCTGTTGCATTCTATAGCTTTTACACTGTCTCTTGAAATAAAAATGAGTGAAGAAAAAGGACATCCTGTCACAAGCTCACTAGGTTAGACTCACATGGCATGTGATTTTACCTACCATACTCCAAACTGAATGAAATTTGCCTTGGTCTTGACTGTGTTCAAACCCAGATGCAAAGACTCAGGGTGACTCTGAGTAGGATCTGACCTCTGTAAAGTCAGGAAGGGCTCACAGTTCCCCTAGAGCTTGAAATAGAAGTTTTGAGCTATTTTACTACTACAACTCCCTACAAATTCTGAAGACCATTTGCACCAACTTGTAAAATTCCAAAAACCACAACGTGTGTAATTAGGTTCAGTTGTCGAAAAAACTGTTTTGTTTCTGAGCTGTTGTTTTTACCACGTGAGGCAAGGAATATTATTTTTACTTCAGACATGGAATTATTAACAAATGGGACAAAAAAGGCTATCCAATGAATGCAGTTCATAAGCTTTCAGTAGTGTTGCTCACAACTGATAAGAGACAAACACACAAGAAAAATGCTTCATTACTTATAGCCAATGAGAGACTTGCAATTATGCAGCTAGGCAGTGAGGGAGGCAGACAGGTGTTTACACAAGGGTCACATGAAGGACAACCCAGTCCAGCTACAAAAGTTTTCTGTTCATCTCTTAGCAGTGATTTAATGGCACAGAAGTGATTCACATTCAGAATGCTTCATAATCCCTTCCTCTCCCGTCTCAAAATATGCAGCAACTGAAAATACGTTCTTCTGCATGAAAACAAAAGTCTAAGTGTTCAAAGTATTTCATGCTGTTTAGACTCTCAAGACTGAAACTGTGTTTAAAGTCCAAGCAATTTATAACCACACTTCATTTCAACAGGATACAGAAATTACAAATGTTAACACATTTGTTCAGGAAGACGCTGTTGACTATATAACGTAAAACCACTCAATTTAGAAAAACAAACAAACAAACCAGCCCTAACTTTAGGTTGCTCACCATAGGGGGGTAACTGGCAAATAGCAGAAAGATCAGAAGATAGAAAAATACAATGTCAGAAAAGACAAGATAAAGGCATTAAAATGTGTACTACACGGGGAACAAGTAGCAGAAAGGCTGTGAAAGGTGTAAGTATGAAAACCAGAGAAAACTGCAGCTTTCCAGGAAGCAGGAAAAACCTTCATGGCTGAGACACTTCCAAGTATACTAGCAAAATCCTAGTAAAGCATAATCCTGAAACACCTGACAAACATCAGTATAACCTTTGGTATACCTAGCCTGAGGGAATTTCTTTGAAGTGGGACAGGTTCTTACCAGGAAATAAAACCAAACAACATAATAGTGTTGTTTATATATTATTTTTTTTTAATTATTTGTTCAGAATTTGATCAAGCTGATCCAGGAAGTCTGGACTTCATAAGAAGCAGAGTGATATCCATGACATTAGTCATGTGGACAGGGCATTCAGAGAGAGAGAGAGGAAAAAAGTACTTCTAAGGAGAGACAAGAATCTGCTCTCATCTGCAGCTGTCTGCGATGATCCACAACTGTATTACAATTTTTAACGCCAAGAGGAACTTCAACATTGCAAAAGAAGACCACCCAGCAAATTAGGCCTCTTTACCTCAATCCCCTTGAAAACAGAGTGTTTCAAGAAACGAATTGGTGAACTGCAACCAGAAGCGTGGAGTAGTAATTCTTTCAACACTAGGTGGCATCAACACCCTGCATGCCACATGCCACCCGTATTTTCCCCTTTCTTCACTAAACCTTGAACAAAGCAGGGAGAACAGTATCCTGCAAAAGTCATTAATTTTAAAGTGCTGGATGTTAAACTTTCAACAGTGAAGAATGAAACACAACATGACTGCAGAATTTATTTTTTTTTTCAAATTGGACAAAAGACTGAACTTCCATCTTCATCACATATTTTGTTTGTAGGTCACCTACAAACATTGTTTGTATGTGTAACCTACTCAAAATTAACTCATTGCTAACATCACCTTTCATGAAAAATATAAAAAATTAAAACATATTTAATAGCCAAATTTGCATATAACTTTGTTTCTTGGAAAAAGATGCATTGAGAACACACCCCACAGAAGTGTCTGTAAGCAATCCAGGCTATGGATGACCGGTAATGTCAGTTATGGTTATAGATGGTTGTAGTATAGTCTCAGTGAGCTAACTTTTAAGTACAGAAAACTTTGCAATGATGGGCCCTCAAACTGAAAAGCATTCACAAAAAGAGCTAGAAGAGTACTCCAAAGTCCAAGAAATCTGTTTCAAGGTAAGAGACTGAGCCCAATTCTACTTCATTTTTCTAACAGAACGGTAGGAAATGAATAAATCATCAATTACAAATGCTGGAATACAGCAGAAGTTCTGGTATCTGCTATGCAGAAGATAATAAATGTTAGGAACTGTTCAGACTAAAAATAAAAAGAGAATACCCCTGCGATAATGATGAACATTGAGCAAATTAATACAAGAGCTACCTAGCTTTTGCGAATACAACGTTAGTCTTCTGATTTGCATCTTCCCTGAATAAAAATTCACACATCTATATTGCAAAAGAATATCAGCAAGCTTGTTCTGAACTCTAGTCACAACAATAAGTGCATTGACACTTTCCAGTTAACACTCTTCCCTTCGTGACAATCAAAGGTAACTTTTATACTAGATTTTCAGACTCAGCAAAAATAAGCTATTGCCATGGGTAATCCAAGAATGGAAGCAGTATTGCATGGTGTGAAGAAATCTTCTGATATAGAGTAGAGCTGGATTTTAATAATAAAAATGCTAAGCTAAGAAGGATGAATTCAACTGATGAATACAGTTAATTTTCCAACTATAATCTTCCAACAGGATTTCAAGGTTCTTTCCTTTTGAAGTTAATTGAAGTTTTTCTACTGACTTCAACAGTGGAAAGATTATGATCTCTTAACAAACTCTCTTGATATATTAATACTTGTGGATTATTTTTATCAGAAAGCATATCTACAGTTAGAAATTTATTCTTGTCTTATGCAGAGTCCACATTTTTGAGCCTGCAGTAAAACAGTAAAAATAGCCACAGGTTCAAGCCACGTTACTCTACTGACATCACATTTACTGAACACAGGTGCCATACATTTACTTCAGCTTGACTTTAGTCGGCATTGGATCAGCTTCCAAACTGCTGTACTTGCAGCTTGCACCTTTTTTTTTTTTTTTTTTTTCCCCCCAGTTTACCCTTGGAAATGTTTTAATGGTATTTCTTTCTCTTAGCTTTCTAAGTTAATGTCTGACACTAGTCATAAATGGGTACTTCTGAAATCTGCAATCCCTTACTGCTGGATCAGCAATACATGATTACCTACCCCTGCACAGCTGGTGTGATCTCTGAATCCTGCCTTAGAGGTGCTTGGTCCCTAACTTGCCTAAACTTTTATTTCCTGCAAGGAGTTCAGCAAAAATGACAACTGCCACATCTCTACTCAGGACTCAAAGTACCTGGCTAACATATCTCAGTTCTTGTCTGGAGATCATCTTTAGCTTTAAGATGGTAACTCAAACCCCTGGCTGTTCACATTTAATCTGTAGTATAGACCTATAAACTGCATGTTTCCTACAAAACATTGTGTGACAGTGTCTTAATACTCACCAGATGCAACAATTTTTTAGCTAGCAGCTGTCTATGCTAGATTTCAATGATAACCTGTCCAATTTCTCCATTTACAAACTCCTTTTCCATAGACAAATCCTCATTCCTATCTTAGCTTAACCAGGTATTAAAAAGGGGAGTTTCCTACTCATGACAGTAGAAAAGGCTGCACTCTGACATGAACGGAGAGTGTGATCAGATACTTACCCACACATTTTGGCTCCTTCGAATCCCACTGTGAGGTTCCCTGGCAGATGAGTTTGATACTTCCTTCTATTTCATAGCCCTCGTTGCAGGTCACAAAACATACTGTCTTATAGGAGACATCTGCTGTTGAACAATTAATGTGTCCATTTTCCGGAGCCCGAAGTTTGGGACATGTTCGAACTGCAAAGGGAAAAAAACCCACCAGTTCACTCTGCAGCGCTGAGGATCAGTGGAGTTAGTTTGCCCAGGTGTTCAGGGCTGGGGTAGGTACTGGCTTCTACACTAGCTACAAGAGTTTGTGCAAATCTAGGTAACAGGGCGGGAACAGTGGTGACTTTCTGCCAAGGCCTGCTGCCTTCCTCTTCCTGAAACAGTCATACATAGCATGAACGAAGTTGGGCACATGTGTTCAAGCTCACCTAAGTTCCGATGTTAAGTCCAGGATAGCAAACTAACTGTGCTCAGAAATGTTCAAAGACATCAAAGTCATATGGCACACAGCATGTTGCCTGTGTTAGTGAAGTGTTTCAGCCTTCAAACAGGGACAGCTGTAGGCAAATGAAATCCTGTGGAAAAGTGTGTGTCTTTGAAAGTTTCTAATATCCCAGCCATGTTTGAGAGTTCTTTGGGGTTATTTCCCACTGGAAGTCTGGTATGGGTTGAGTGCATGCCAGGGAGCAGGCAAAGAGCTTATTAAATATGGGATATGACAGTGTCCCAGTGCTCAGGAACATCCTCTGGTACTCTGGAAGGTACTGCTGTAGAAACACATTTGTGAGCCTTCACAAATCAGAACAGCAGACATTCATCATGGTGGTGGGGAAAGACAAGAGAAGAAGGAATACAAGACGTTGATTGACAATGGGACCACAAGAGATGAAAAGGAACAAATTAGGCTCTGGTCGAGACAAAAGAGATCCTTTCAGGTTCAGGGCTGCCCATGGAGGTAGCTCTAGCTGCCGCTCAGCACAGAGGATGGTCCTCAGATTGTCTTACGGTTTTGTTACTGAACCCTGATGCTGCAATTCAACAGACAGCTACACCGTGATTAAGACTGATCCCGAAACAGTTGACTGTTACTAAGAAGAAAAAAGTAGTAGCACTGATATGGCCTGCATTTACATTCTTTATTTCAGTGTCATAACCTCAAGCTCTTCTGCTAACGACCTCTTTCCTTAGCACTGCCTTCAGCTCTCCAGGCAGTATCTTATGCTTCTGCACTTATCCCCTTGCCACCCTCTGAAAAAGACACTGACCTACATACACACTGCCTGGCCTTTGGGTCCCTCAAACAACGAAGCTGTACATACCTGCTGTATGGTCATGATTATGTGATGATGATACATGCATGACAACCAGGTGATGACAAGCTCAAATGCATACAAACCTGTAGAGGCCCTAGTGCACTTTTCATTCAATAATTCATGACTTTCTTCAATAACCAGTTACCGATTTTCCAAAACCCATACGTTTGAAGGCCCTGCTCTCAACTGAAGCTGATAGATACTACTCAGCATGTTCAGTAGTTATTAGGGGGGGAAAAAAGACACAAGGGCAAAGAGTGTTACTGTTCAAAAAATACAATCAAGAAGATTGCAGTCCCCTAAACTGTGTTTTTCCTGGACTGTTTCCATAACTTCTGTTGACCCTGCTGGCAGGAGGGCAAGCTCTGGTGATGAGTGTCTTCAGAGATCTGGGCAACTCTGCTGTGGTCTGGTATGCTGAGTTTACCAAGTAACCCATCCTTGCTGCTGCCAAGTAGGAGGCAAACCACGAGCTCCTTTCCAAGTGCACTTGAAAGTAAGCCAGCTCGGCAACTTCCCCTCCTTCTCCCAGTAGCTCTTTACTCTGCACAGTGATGAGATGGCACTCCTATAAGTGGACACACGGACTGAACAGATCACTGTATATCCCTCAGACTAATAAATGGGCAGATAACCTAAGTGCTCCTTCAAATGAAATACAAATGCTAGTAACTACAAGCCCCTCAAAGCTACCAAAACCACATTTAATAATGTCTTTTTTGAAGCAGAAGAGGAAGAGGAAGCAGAAGAGGAAGAGGGCAAGGGAGAGGGAAAGGGGAAAAAAAAAGATAAAAGACACTTCCACCTTGTGACAGGTACTTTGAGCTTCAGAGCAGCTTCCCAATATGCTGTTTCTTAACTGTAGTAGAGTACAAAAGACATTTTTAAAGCTAAATCACATACGCTTTATACAAAAGAGTATAGGATTTCTCTTTTACAGTTTCTGTGGAAGCCTTTAATACCCAAGGTGTGGTAAAAGCAGCAAATGCTACCAAACTCCATGGAGTTATTGAGGAAGCCTGAATGAATCAAGAGCACTGAAGACGCTCTCAGCAGTGTCAGTGTGCCCACAGAGATGTCTAGCTGTCTCTTCTGGATGGACTGCATAGCTGCAGTGCTCCTGCCTCAGCAGTGTTTCAATGTTCACGCTTGTTCAGTGTCTCAGCAGGGCTCTGCCAGAAGCCTGTAACTGAGCCCGCGTTATCCTGGTTATGGTTCCATGCATTAAACACTAAACCACCCTTTTGTCAGCAAGGCATTTTCCATGACCAAGAAATACCATAAAGTCCGTGAAAACAACAATAATGGTACATTCTGCTTGCTCCAGGTTTCCTCCTCATGTATTTTTCTGGATTAAATACCCACTTCATAGCTGTTTAGTTCATCAGTTACTGTTAATTGCATGACACAACTGTATTAATCACTTTCCAAACACATTGCAGATTTTAGCTAGCAGAACAACTAAAGAGTGTTTAATGTCAAAATCCAAAGCAGTGCAATGGGATTTCCTTCACTCTCTCTTCCTAATTTATGTGATAAAATACTCCTGGGATTAACAAGACAGCTATAAACTATGCCTTTGATCTTGCTCCCTTTTATAGTCTGAGCAAATCAAAACTAGAAGATCCAGCACATGTAAAAACAGGACTTTTTAGTATATATTTTTTTTAAATTGGAAGTCTTCAGTATGATGGAGAATGGCACAAGAAAAGCCAAAATATATCCTTTCAGTGCTTCAGGGGACATTGACTCAACACTGGGACAGTATCTTAAGGCAGATTTCTCTCTTCCTTCACCCTCCAGCCAAATTTTCTGTTGAAGGAATATCATGCACCAACAACCAATAAATGAATTTTTCTAAATTCTCCAAGAAGTTTTCCAAGTACTAGACTCTTCCACTTATTTATAGACAGTGAAGACAAAAGATCCTTTCTTTGTGGCTGACTGCACTTTTGAATCGCAGCTCTTTCTATGTATTGACAGCTGGAATACAGCTCTAAGTCTAGCTTCTCATTATACCCTCATGGTATTGGCCAGCAATTTATTTTCTGCTGCTGCAAGTTTCTCCTTCCTGCCTTCTGTCACTGGAAACTACAAAGGAAGGCTAAATTTTCCAAGAGTCCTGCAATGTAAGCAGAAGTTAACTGCTATATAAGAATGTCCCAAGGAACTGATCTCCAGCTCAGATCCCTCTGTTCAGAACCATGACTTGCTGTTTCTTTAGGGGCTGCAGTGTTTGCTGTAGTGGCATAAAGTGCTAATGCCTTCAAGAATCTATCCTACCTCTGTCTCTGAACTCAGGCTAACAGTTACAGAGGGAGCTGAGGACTTCTGATTTACTAGCATCCAGTGCAGCATACTAATGTCAGCTGCACGGTGCATCCAACTTAAACATGTTGAACTACAGCCTGTGGCTATTGAGGAGATGAGGGCCGCTACCCATTTTTCAGGCCCTCCTTGGAAGACACACCAGACATGGGTATGCACCTCCTCTTCTCAATCATCAAGAACCCAACCTCAGGCAGATAAAAGTGATAATAAAGCAAACCTGTATTCCTATGTACTTGCAAGAGCTCCAGAAATAATGTTTTTCAGGATGGTCTCTCCCCTGTCTCCTCCCTTTCACACCTTGTGTTTATTTCTTTTCCAGCTGACATTCTGTTACAGTGAACTTCTGGGATACTTCCAGTTGTTCCCTAGTTAAACTTCTTTCAAAATTCTTCTGAAGACTCTGCTCAAGGCAGAAGCTTTTCTGTTTTTTCTAAGAACGAATTGTAAGAAGGCAAAATGGAATTCTTCCATGGCTAATGTCTCCCAACGTCAATGACTGCATATGCCAGGAGTCTGGTGAATATTCTGAAATACCCATGTAGCAAGACCTTGGTTTTGACTACTCACTAGGTTTGCTGAATTTAAATAACAGATACGAAATTAATAGAAATTAGGTGAAGAGAGGTTTAAGGAAGTAGAGTGTAAATTCACTTGCAAAAGACTGTCTGCCTAGTAAACACTGGTCTGCACTGTCTATTGTAGCTGTGATCCTTCCATTTTAGGGAGGAGGGAAATGGAGAGATTTGAGTGGGAGATTACCTTTGGAACATTCTCTGACCCAAGACCTAACAGGATCAGATCTCCATGCCCAGGTATGTAGTGAGCAGAGAAAACCACTGTTAAGAACAAACTAATCTAACAGAAAAAGATTTCTCAAAACCACAATATCCATACCTCTGCAAGTAGCCTCTGATCCAGACCACTGACCATTTGGCTGACAAAGCCGGATACTGCTTCCCACAAGATCAAATCCTGCTTTGCATCGGATCCCACAGGCAGCATTAAAGTAATTGTTGCAGACATTCTGGACAAAGTAACCATTTTCAGGGGGCTTCAGTTCAGGGCAGTGAACGACTAAATAACAAAACAACCACAACAGAGTTAATGATGCTAGCAGGAGTTCGACAGGCTACTGAAGGAAAACAATTTTTTTCATTTTCAACCCAACTTGCATCTTGGTGCTTTTGTTGTTTTGGAACGACACAGAAAATCTTGCACACAATTGGACATGTATTTCACAGCGCAAACACAAGTAACAAAACTGTCCCAGCACTGCACTGTGCATTCCAGGGGTGTTCTGTTCCAGGACAGATAGCACTCACCTTCACAGGCTTGTCCTACAGCACGATATCCCTCCCGGCACGTACAGTCCTCAAGGGAGGTACTGCCTGGTGGAGAAGTATGATTCTCATCGGGACAGGAGCTGCAAGTGCTGATTCCACCCGGTGAACCTTCAGGCTTGTATGTTCCTGGTGGACAAGCTGTTGAATGAAAGAAAACATGACAGAAAGGAGTCAGGATATCCATCTTCCACAGCCAGTGTAATTTTTCAGGTGTGTTTCTTTACATTTTTACAGTTCTTTTTTTTTCTACTTTATACAACTAGTGTCACTTAGGGAAGGAGCATTCTTCACTTAAAAACTGCTGTAGAGTTCTTAGAGGGGTGAACTAAAGTCCACCAAATCCAGTGGAGGTCTCTCCAGTCACTGCCTGGAGACTGATATTAAGTCCATGATTAATTTTCTTGAAAAGAAGCCCAGTCTCAGAAGACACACCAGATTTTCACTAATAAAACCTGTGCTGACCTCACAAAGATTCTCTTGATTTAGAGGTTTAAAAACTTACTTGAGACAAAATCCTTGCCATTCAAAACTACACTGTGGTTTAATGCATACAAAGTCTTAGGAACAACCTAACACAAGCCAGCAAACACCCCTGCGCTTGATTACACATTATGATTATATATGATCTACATACTACACTTGCAAAAATTTATGAACCACAAACAAAGAAGCAATTATCCAATGCTACCTGACACTTTTGCACTCATTTATATCCCATTTAATATTTTCAGCTTTGTCCATCTGTATATGCAAGCCTTAAAAAGGTTCAGGTGTCTTCAGAGGCAGGGAAAATGCACAAGGAATAAGCACGTGAGAACTTCAGAATGGTTGGATTAGTGTGAGTCTTATCCCCCTCTGCCGTGAATTCTATTTTTTCAGGAAACCACCATAATAATCTTTATTTATTCCACAAGGATCATGTAAGAAACAGGGGAGTGACTAATCAATAGGTGTTGATCAAGTGAAGTACTTATCGATCAGATTACCACTTGAAACAGGACTCAAAAACACTTGTGCTGAAAAACTTACCTCTTGATGTGAAGTTCAGGAAATATTTTGATGTTCTCAAGTGAACCAAGGCTCACTTGGTTACAGAGGTACTTCCAAGTGTGTGAGAAGACACAGTCTATCCTCTGATGCCAGGCGATGGTTTCAGAATGTGAGTATAAGCATGCTGAACTCTGTGTGTTTCCATCACAGCCGTAGAAGTTATCCTGGCCACAGCTTAGGCTAAAACTAGCCAAGATCAGCTGTGGAAGAGCAGAGCTTTGGCTATCTGCTCATACCTGACCCAGCTAGACCACAGACCTATCCCCTCCAGCTCCAGACAGCATCACAGCATGCCCCAAGTCTACACGCAGTGATGCATTCAGAGGCAAGAGAGGCAAGCAGATCAGAAGAGCAGATATGACCCCATCCACAACTGATCATACAGGTGTCTCTTTGGGGTCGCTTCCCAGAATCAAGCAGTGATGTCACCAGTCTGCATGCAACAATGTGCCCTCTATACCCACGCAACTGATTTCCAAATTCACTAGAAATTCTTCTGCTCTGTCTGCCCACAATAATGACAAAGTCAGTATTTTAGTCTTCCAGCAAGAAGAATTTAACATTATAAAAGTGACAACACAGACCAAGGTGTATTTCAGAGATTTACCAAACACTTAACACCTATTATACAGTTTGGCTTTTTTTTTTTTTTAACCCCCAAATACTGAAGCCAGTGGCAGAGTTAAGCCCATTGGTCTTGAACGCACACGACAGCATGAAGACTCCAGTCTGGATTTAAACAGGTAGAGATCATGTATCAAAGGGTTCTACCCTGTGACACATGGCCATGATTCTTCCTCAGAATGTATGAGTAAAAATTCTAAAGATAAACAAATCTGCCTTAAAAATATAAATCTTTTAAAATCCTGGGAGAGTAGGCAAGCTCAATTTCCTCTCCAACTATACTAGTGTATCTGTTACCAAAATGGAATTATCCTTCGTTTATCGCAGTGTAAGAGAGAGAAGACTAAAAATCCATGTATTTTAAAGATTAATTTGAGGGATCTTGTATTTCCTTCAACGTGTAATTTCTCCCACTAACTAAATTTACTAAGTAATCCCTGGCTTGAGCTGTTTTCTCCACACTTGATGCTAATGAAGGATACGATTAAAGGTTTATCTTTCGCAGGATACGGCAGCCATCAGCTAGGCAATATCCTGCTCTCTCCTGCATCAGCCTGAGCTCTGTTCATACACTTCTACTGTGATGATTGTAGTCTCCAACTCTCATTTTTTCCCTATATATGTAAAGCCTAAATGAAATGACATCTCAATGCAAACTGCAAACACAGTCTTCATAATTCAATCCCCAAACTTCTTAAATGAGGAAAGAAAGCCTAGCTTTCCATTTAATCAAACTGCTTTAATGCTACTGTAATTACTTTTATGACACTGATCACATGGATACACATTCAACATAACATAGTGGTAGATCTGTCTCAGAATGAGAGCATACCATGAACACCTATTGTCATTTTGTTTTTCTGGTGTCCAGTAAAAATGATGCAATCCATAGGTCACAGTATCTCTCAACAATGATGACTGGATATTTGTATTCAGTTCTTCCAGTTTCCTAAGGTTTTGTTACTGAACATACATGGCCAGGAGATTTTTAGTAGCATAGATCTTTGAGATGGCATGTGTGGGCTCGTACTTGTATTCATTTGTTGGAAGTTCTGCTGAAGATACGTGTGTATGCCTAGAAGTTTGAATTACAGACCACAACTTCAGGACAACCAAACCCCTCAAGTCAACTCACATTTATGCCCTTGGAGAACTGCAGCCTGAAGGTGTGGAGTCTCCCTCCCACTGGTTTACTTCATCTAAGATTCTTGTGTCTTTGCAACAGCAAAAAAAAAAACCCTGAAAATTAGAAAATATGTCACCCTTACCTTCACATGTGTAAAACAAGTGCTGTGGTAGATGTATTTACCATCAGCCATGTTTTACATTTGCCACCATGAATAGGTCTGACAACAAAGGTTAGTTATTTTATTAAATAGAAGTAAAAACTTTCCCGAAGAAGGAAGTACAAAGAACTTACAGTACATTATCACATGCTACATCTTTCTACCCCGATACCCACATCTCTCGTCATGACCAGGTACTACACAATTAGATTTGCCTAATGGCCAGAAGCACCCTGTATTAGGAGAAGCATTATGAACAAAGGGCTGTTAGGTATTCCCTGTGACAACGGCCGGCCAAAGAAAACATGCTTTGCAAGGATAATGCACGGTGTCAGGAGGAAATGGAGATCCCCGTTCCATAGCAAGCAGCTGGAGACTTCCTGACACTTTCCCACCTACTGAAGCAGCAAAGGAAGTGTTAGGGATGACTTGGAGTGATAGAATGAAGTGCTGCCCAACCCTCCCTTCTGCCTCCAAAACCATTCTCCTGCTGCTGCACTGTTCATTTGTGAGTGGCCTCTGCAAGGGAAGAATATGAGTAACTTGGGAGGCATACTGATGGAAGCCATGACTGCATGAATCTCCCCAGTCTCCTGCCCTCTCCATGTATTATTTTGCAGTGATATCTCTTGGCTGTTGCTGTAACTACAGCATTTTGCAAATGCGGGACACCACTGTGCCCCGGGATTTGTAATATTCAAGCCTATTCTATCAACCAATGAAACCACAGTTGTGGCTTTCTTTCCTGATGTTTACAAGCCAAAGAACATTAGGCTTAGGCCATCACAAAGACAAGACTACCCTGGCCTCTGAGATGAACCTCACCGTATCTGCACATGAAGAGCTTTAAGCCTGCTTCTCAAAGACTTTCCACATCCTCAGTCTCTACTGTAGAGACTGCCTCCAGAAGCTACAGCTTTCATTGTCACATTTATGTTATCTGGGAAGCTGGGGCTTTTTAACATCGCCTATATGGTAGGTTTGTCAGAATGGACATTTTGTGCCAATGAAATAACTTTGTAAAGCTAAGGAGAAAACCATCTAAACCTTTGGTTGATACTGTAATCTACTTTTCTGCATTTTGTAACATGTAAAGTGCCACAAAAAAACGATGAGGCAGGAGCATGCTAGGATTACAAAATATACACAAGGAAGTGGCTTTACCTAAACATTTGACATGTATGGCTTGTACAAAGACTGCAAAAGAAGACCTTGAGCTTGCCCTTAAGTGTAGGGATCAGGGAAGGTTTCTGCTAAGTCTCACCATGTTGTCTGACTCTTTAGCATCTCCTGTTATCTCCAGTATGTGCTCTGCATTGATTTCAGAGAGCACTGAACCTGCTCATCCACCTGCTCTTTGTTAGTATTCTTTAAGCATCCTTCTCACAGCAATATGGTTAGCAATTTAACAAGCTAGATGTCTTCTCTGCTCCTATATGATGTTTTTTGCTCCATCATCTCTTTATTAGATTTACAAATTTCCTCTCACGGGAGAGAGCGGGCTAAAATAAGTCAGAAGTTTAGCTACTTCTGTACATGATACATTGGGAGGGCTTCACTCAAACCTTTTAATTGAGTTTACAGACATGAAAACTGTAATATTCAACTGCCAACTCTGCTGCAGCATTTGGAATGACACTTTGAGATGATCTAGCTCTATATCTTTATGCACTTCAAACAGTCATAACAAAGTTTCTGCAGAAATAACTCATTCACAATAAAAATTAGAATCTTGGATCCTCTCCCATGGGGCAGAAGAACTGGAAAGTTGCCTGGAAAGAGATGCTTCCCTTGGGTGAATAACCCATCTCAGTATCCTAAGCATAGGCAATGTGGGGAACAATCTGTCTGCTGAAGAATAATAAGCCAAAGAGCTACTAGATGGTCCTGCTCTGGCAGGGGGCTTGGACTCGACGATCTCTGGAGGTCCCTTCCAAATCCTTAACACTCTGTGATTCTGTGATACTACAGCTTGTAGAAGTTAGAATGCCAACAAGGCCCTTCTTCCACAGGAAGGTCTGTCCATGAGACATAACTGTGTTGAGCATCCCTGGGTAGGCTTGGGGCCAGCACATTTAGAAAGGATTACTTCAAGGCAATGATTCTGACTGCATAATATCCTCCTTCAGTAATAGCAGCAGTACTGAGAATATACAGAAAATGCATTTATGCCCAGTT